CATACACCAAAGGAATCAAAGTCAGCTTACACTAGAGACACCTGTACACCCATGTTTATTATGGCACCATTTATAATAGCCAAGGTATGGAATCAGCCTAGGTACCCATTAACAGAAGAATGGATAAAGGAAATGTAGTTTATATACATAGTGAAGTATTATTCAGCCATAAAGCAGAATGAAATCATGTCATTTGCAGGAAAATGGATGAAGAGAGAGGTCATAATCATGTTAAGTGAAATAAGCCAGACTGAGAAAGTATTGTGTGCTTTCTCTTCTTTGAAAAAACTAGGAGGGGAGAAGGAGTGAAGGAGGAAGAGGAGGAGGAGGAGGAAGGGGAGGGGGAGGAGGAAGAAAGAAAACCTGAAAGTAGTAGAGGGATATTGAGGAATGGGACAATAGGGAGAAGGTAGGGGGAGAAGAGAGGGCAGTTGAAGGAGTGGATACAATCAAAGCAGAATATGTGCAAGCATGGAAATGTCATAGTGGAAACCCATTCATATCTACAATTAATACGAATTACCAAAAATTCCAAAATGTTTGTATTAGTGAAGACATAACAGTGAGGAAGATACTATATACCTTTTTGTCATTGATTTGCCACATTAAAAATCAACTGGGCAGAAAAACAGTAAGAACTAATAGGAAAGGTTTCAAACAGGAAGCAACCTTGACATAGGGTCTTAAAGGAAAGGCAAAATTTAAGCGGGCAGAAAGAAGTTCTGGCTAATGGCTTTTTGGATGAAGTAAGTGACAGTACCAAAGGCACAGGCTCAAATGAGTATGGGGAACTGGGAGGCAAACTGACTTCAGAAGAACAGAAAGGATGAGCCAGACACACAGGGACTGAAGCTGGATAAGCGGTGTGGGGACAGATTAGAAAGGCAGCTGGAAGTCAGGCAGAAGTCAGATGTAACCTAGTGGGAAACAGGGAGCCACAGAAGCCTTCTGCACTGGGGAGAGATATGAAGAGGCAGCATTTAAAGGTTACTCAGAATGAGACAGAAAAGGAGGTAGGCATCTGTGGAAATCCAGGAACAAGGCAATGAGGGCCTGAACAGGACAGGGACACAGATTACAGTGTATTGTGGCAGACATGTTGAAAAGGTAAATTTAGGGGCAACCAGAAACAAGGAAGGCACACAGACTAATCCAGGAGCTGGCTATTAGGCAAAGGAGTTATGCTACAGATTATGACCAGAAATTTCCATCAGTAGGATCATGTTGAACAACCAAGCATGTGAGAAGGAGCTTCATCATTTGGCTTAGTCACTTTGCTGCCAATGCCTCCTGAATTTTACATCTGCTTTGATAAAGCAGCCATGAAAATCTCCTTACATAAGAAACAGCTGTAATGTTTTCAATTCATGAGCAAAGCAAATTCATGACCCTTTCAGACCAGGAATCCCTAGAGACAGAGGGCAAAAACAAAACAAAACCAAAAAACCACCATTCTTTTGTTTTGTTTTCTGTTTTGAGACAGGGTCTTATTATGTAGCTCAGGCAAGCCTCAAGTTCACTATGTAGTCCAGGCTAGTCTCAAACTCAGAATCCTCCTGCTTCAGCTTCCCAAGTGCTGAGAGTGTGCCATGACACCCAGCTGGTGCAGCCTTCTTTACACTCAAATACGTATTCTTCATTGTCTGCTTCCACCAAAGTAAAAAACAAAAACTTGTTTTTTAGTTGATCTAAAATCTTAAGACATAGCCTTAACTGTATGTGAAAGTGGTCCTTTAGGAAGAGAACAAACACATGCACACTTCAACTGAGAAAATGAATTTGAAAGAGTTAGCACTTTGCCAAGTTCCTTTCCTATATTCAATCAAATTAAGAGGCAATTATCTGAGGTGAAACAGAGAAAAATGTTACTAAGGCTAAATTTGTCTGACTAATGAGTTTGACTAATAATGGTTGAATCTAAAGTCAACTCTGTCACCCCCACTTCCTCCCATCAACTTGGAATATGCAGAAGGTAACATGGTAAAACCATGTCATTCATATGTTCCAATGGCACTTTCTAAACACCTTGGTGGTCTATACATGATTTCACATGTTCTCACACCTTCCTGTTGTTTTCTGAAGGAACTGTGAATGAGAATTGGAGTTCAAAAATAGCTAGGATGAGCACAGCTATCACAAGTCACTGCACTCTTCCTAAAATGCAAGGCCAACCTTGGATTATGATTCACACGTTGTCTCATTTAATCCCTACCCAATCCTGTGAGTTACGGACTATGATTAATAATCATTTTACGTTGAAGAAACTGAGCTTTTAGGGAGGTAAAAGGGATTTGTGCTAAGTCACAAAACTAGCAGGTGGCAGACAAGTTCATCTGTCATACTCTTGTAAATCACTAATTATACTGCCAGGCACAAATATCTGTAAACCAAAACAAAAAGTAAAAAATACAAGAAGCTGCTGGGCGTGTTAGGGCATGCCTATAATCCCAGCACTTGGGAGGCTGAGGAAGGAGGATTGTGAGGTGGAGGATTGTGAGGTAGAGGACAGCTGGGGCTATTTTGTGAGACCCTGTTTCAAAAAACCAACAAATAGGTTGGTGGAGTGGCTCAAGTGGTGGAACACCTACTCCTTGTCAAGTTCAAGGCCTTAAGTTTAAACCCTAGTACCACCAAATAAACAAACACCCCAAGATAACAACAACAAAACAAATAAAACTATGTAATATATAGGGTATATATAGCATATATACACATGTATGTGCACACACACACGGAAGCTGGACATGTGTAAGAGTTAGGAGGGCATCATTTCTATGAACTGTGTCAATGACCCAAATGACAGACTTCTTCCACTCCTTAAAATGAAAACACTGCACTCAGTTCCTGAAGGACGACAGGACACTGCTAGGAGTTGGGAGTCTTATTGTTCCCTCTCAGCAGGACACTTTATGTTATATCACATTGATGGCACTGACAGGCTCTCAATACCTTCTCAGTTTGTAATATTAAAAACAAACAAACAAGCTATCTACTTAGCTTAAGACTAAGTAGGCTGATTGGTGACACTGAAATGCTTTAAGAAGTATTTTCTTAGAACATTCAGTGACCTGAGCAAGTTGCATTCACTACTAGCAGTGAAACTAACCTTTTGAAGCTAGTTCTCAGTACAGAAAATACACTCATAAGACACTTCTAAAAATAACTCTCCACTGTAATTCCCGCCTTATGCATCTGGGCACAGATGTCGTATTTCCTCCACAAAGCTTCCTTTCATGTTGCAACAGTAAGCATCTCAATCTCGAGCTGAGCCAGAACAATCTAGAACTGCAACTCCTTCACGGGAGGTGATTATTACTTTTAAGATTTTATATAGCAGTCTGATTGTGATGGGACTTCCTTACATTTTAATTCAGCAATACCTCTAACTAGAACATAACGCACTTGTAGTGTCATGCTTGTCCCTCTCCCCTCTTTTTCTGCCAGCCAACACCTGGTCTTCCACAAAAGGGTCAGTGTGATCTCTGCAGACCAGAGATAAGGAATAAAACCATGACCACGACCATGTTTGCCTAGAGAACAGAAGAGGAAGCACTTAGCGAGTCATTCAGGAGTATAAAACTTGGTATCTGTGAGTGAGACTGGTGAACTGTTCTCGCTGGTTAAATAAACATGCACAAATTAACAGGATGAGTTAGTGACTTCCACTCTTCCCTTGAACTAGTGGTGTTTTGGCAGGCAGCCATATAATCTGCAATAATCTGTCACTGTGAAGCACCACCCACTTCCTCTGCCTCACCCTCAGCCAAGCTGTGACCAGGACACTTCTGGTCTGCCAATGTAATGGTCACAACACCACAAAAGGCTGTGCTATCTGTGAAGGCTGAAATTCACCTAATTTGGACGCTGAAGTCTTTAGTATTCATAAATCTGAAGGGAAAAGCATGTTATATGCTGCTAAAGATGATTTGAAAATTTTAATTTCTTTTTTTAATACATTAGATAAATCCATGCATAATATTCATGGCAATACTTCTTGGTTGAAAAGTGCATCAATGGATAATTCTAAGACTTAATTTACACATAAAACATGTAAAATACTGAGTTTGCCCAGCGTTATATGTCAACCTACACATTTCATTTAAACCTTACTCCAAGAGCTTAGGGAAGCAGGCAAAACAAAAAAACAAAGCAAAACCTATTAAAGTAGCTTGGCCAGTTAACAAATGTCTTGCATTAACTTTTTTAACATGCAAACTATCAGATGTCAAATAAAAATTATCTACTTCCTTACTCCATCGAATTTCATTTTATAGACTAGAGTAGTCCCATAAATTACTAATCAGATTACCTCATGGTTAAGACACTTCATTTTCATACTGTAATAGGAAACTACACCTATGTACTAAAATGATAAAAAAAAGATAGAACACAGTAAACACGACAAATGGTCTGATATTGCTGTCTGTAAATTTGGTATTACATTCAAGAAATTTTTTTACTTTCTTTCCTATTTTCCCTTTCTGTAAAAGAAGAAAACTAGGAAGTGTGATATTTTTTAAAGCTCTTTAAGATGAATAGTGTGCCATTTTGAGTAGCTTAATTTTGAAATAACTGTTTTCAGTAATATCATCCATTAGCATAAAGTGCATCCATCTTTAATCGAGATGACCATTAGCATATTTTAAAAATTTTGTTAAAAGACTCTTTTACCAAGATTTTGATCTTTTATTGGCAGGTCAGCATTGAGCTTACTTATCCAGAGGAAAGGAAAAACAAACAAAAAACCCTGTTTTTGGACAAATTGACACTAAGGCTTATTTGTAAATATCAAAGTCCAAATTCGAATAAATAGAGCATATGAATCCAATAACTTTTGAGGTTGATTATTCTCAGCTGGACTTTGAGCAAAGCCCACAAAGATTCACATGAAATTCAACAGGGAGTTAAAATCACTCCTGTTTATTAACAATGTTGACACAGAACCCATATTTATAGCAAGACATTCAATGTAAAATAGAACACCACGGAAGCTTACTCACAGATCGTCTGAAAGGCATGTCCTATTCTTCCATTCCAACAGAATGAAGACTTTAAACATTCTTTATTTAGCCAAAGCAATCAAAAAATTTGCCCCAGAAATGGCTTTCTTTAAAACATTGCCTCTTACTCCCAGGAAAGATAAGACTGAACTCAAGTTCAGTTACAAGAACTGTACTAGGCTATCTATCAAGCGCCTTCATCCTGAGAAAGGAAGTTATTACAGACGCTTAGTTTTATAAGTGAGACTTAGAGTACTTCCTGGTCAGACAGTTAACATCGAGAGCACTTATACAGCTGTACATTGTGACATTTGGAAAATAATTTTCTAAAAACTTTCCTAGGACTTTCCCCCTGCTAGTCCTTACAAAAGAGAAAAACATGCTCAGGCTAAACGAATCTTATATAAAAATCTATGATATCCCTCTAATGTTTACTATTATGGTGGCAGTAACTATTACAAAGGATTATTGCAATGAATAATAACGTCAGCTCAAGTTTTAATTATTTTACATGTCTGTACTCTCTCTCTGCCTCCCAGCATGCTCCAGTAAGGTTTTCATGAAAGAGGAGAAATATCTTAAAGGACAACTTACCAATTCCTTGATAATGAAGAAAGAGAAGGTGAATACCATTCACATTTTAACATTGAAATCTATAATTAATTCTCTTGTAAGCGTATATATTAAAAAAAAAAAAAATTCTCCAAGAAGTCTTGTCCCAGCGTAATAAGGAACTTCGGATGAAAGCAGAATGACCTGGGTGCCCCATGCTATATCAGGCAGCCAGCTGAGGTATTTCCTGTTCCAACGCCCATTGGTTCTCACAGGTGCAAGCGTCTATGGGTGGTGCCAATCTACCCTTCCTTTGGCAAGAGATCCACTAAAGGAGATTTAAGGTTGGCACAACCAACACTGGGAACCTTTAGGACAGAACCACCTTGGGCTGATGCTAAGTACCTTCCAAACGAGGTTGATTATGGACTGATGATTTCCTCATTCAGAAGGGCTGGAGAAAATGGATTTCAACAAATTTTTATGATTTTTCTAGATGTGACTTCACTCATTCCCTTGTCTGTGCAAAGCAGTATTCTAAGCAGAGAATATAAGAGTGAATAGAACACAGTCCCCATGGTTATTCATGTAGAATCTGCTGGACTTTAGAGAATTTAGTATACACTGAGAAAACTTCCATAAAGGCAGAGACTAAAGAAATTGGAAAGTCAACTGTAGTTAGTCTTACTAGTAAAAAGTATTGTAATTAAGGTCACTGCTTCAAGCCTAAATATTCTTTTCCAGCAAGGTATGGTGGTTCATGCCTGTAATTCCAGCATTTGGGAGACATGAGATAGGAAGATTGAGAGTTCAAGACCAGCCTGAGTTACATAGTGAGACCCCGTCTCAAAAGAACAAAATAAGCACTGATGGTTCACACCTATAATCCTAGCTACTCAGAAGGCAGAGACCAGGAGGATAGTGGTTTGAGGCCAGCCAGGGCAAATAAGTTTGAGAGACTGCATCTTAAAAATAACCAACAAAAAAAAAGGGACTTGGTAGAGTGGCTCAAGTGCTATAGCGCCTGCCTAACAAGCATGAGGCCCTGAGTTCAAGTCCCAGTGCTATAAAACAAAGAAACCCCTCCCAAACCCCACTAAAACCAAACAAATGAAAAAAAAAATTTCCAGAAGCTAGTACACAAAAAGAAGGATTTTTTTACATTTTCAATGTTTCAAAACCCATGCCGTAGGTACTGGCATATGGTTTAGCAGGGAAGAGGAAACCTTCTCACCATGAGTCACCAGTGACTAAGTTTTTAATTCAGGCTTAAAACATATTTCAAACCCAATTGCTTGTACATGCAGAAAACTGGTAACAACCCTAAATTAACAGCACAAAATTGATTTGACCAATTTTGGGGGTCAATATCAGCATCTAAGAAAAACAAGCAAAGTGTTTTCAGAAGGATAATGCTCCTGTACCGAATTTTATTATCATTTTGGTTTCATTAGGCTTCAGTGCCTAAGGCAAAGTCAACAAGTGTCCATCAGAGTTTGAGCCAATGAACAGTTTTGAAGGTTTAGTCAGACTGAGAAACAGTCATCTGAAATATATGGTGGGGTAGTGGGAATGTTTCTTATTTGCATTTGACAAAACAAAAACATCGTAAGTTCAGGGCTGCTCAGAGAAAACTGTAAAACACACAGAGTAAAATGCACAGGTCAATGCTACTCTTCTAAGTTATATTTTATTTCCTTAGGTTTAAAATAATAAAACTTAATTAAGGTCTGGTATGATGGCTTATAACTGTAATCCCAACTACTCTGAAGGCAGAGATCAGGAGACTCACAGTTCCAGGCAAGCCTGGGAAGAAAGTGAGACCTTGTCTCAATCAATAAACCAGGAGGCATAGGTAGGAGGACTGTAGTCTGAGGCTGACCAGGCAAAAAACCACTAAACCATATCTGAAAAAATAACTAAAGAAAAAAAGGGCTTGGGGCATGGCTAAAGTGGTAGACAGCCTGCCCAGCAAGCACCAAACCCCAATATACTTTTTTAGCCAACAAACTGGAGGAATTCTTAAGCCAATAGTTTCTGTTAGTCACTTAACACAAATACTTACTGAGCAACTAATAGTTCTAGGCACTATTTTATGAGTTGGGGCTACAGCAACAAATAAATGTGGCACGTGCTATGGAGAGTCTAGTATGCTGGGTGGGGGCGCAGTAACCATGTGTGTGCAGGCGCAAATTGCTCTACCATAAAGCCAGTCTCTTTGCTTTGGATATCAGAGTATGAAGCTTTTTGGTTTGACTCAAGTGAACAACCACCTTCTGTTGCAAATGACAGATGATCTCACTTCATTTGTTGCTAAGACCTAGCGAAAGGAAAACAAGACTGCAAAGAACCATCCAATAAAAACACCAACTAAGGAAATAAAGTAACAAATCCCACACATTCAGAGTTAAAGTGCACTGTCAGGACTATTATCAGTGTTAAAAATGAACATCCAACTAGGGGCAGTGGTTTACCCCTGTAATCCTAGCTATGTCGGAGGATCACCATTGGAGGCTAGGCTTGGCAAATACTTCGAGAGACCCCCATCCCCAAAATAACCAGAGCAAAATGTACTGGAGGTGTGGCTCAAGTGGTAGAGCGCCTGTCTTGCAAGTACAAGTACAAAGCCCTGAGTTTAAACCCAGTCCCACCAAAAAAAAAAAAAAAAAAAAAAAAAAAAAGACATACAGGACTGAGGTGTGAGCACTTGACTAGAAAACAGAACCCTGGGGTCAGTTCCCGATGCTGCTTAAATACATAAATGAAACAAAACAAAAACAAGTTTCCATACACTTATTAGTACTGGCATCAGGTTTACCAACTGTCAAGGTCAGAAGTGAACCTTTCCCTTACGATTTATCCCTGCTATTTTCACTGGCAGCAGTAATTATACACTATAATTATCTATACAATTATACTGACATATTACTTTGAACCTAAAATAAGTATTAAATTTAACATAATTCAACAATTAAGATATTAGTTGCAAGGTGCTTGGTTAGATGCGAAAGACACCATTCCTTTAAAATCAAGAAGATGGATGCCTGGAAGAATAAGACAAGTATAAACCCTATTATTTAATTTCAGAAAGAATATTTTATAATAAGAAAAAGGGCTGGGTGCCAGTGGCTCACGCCTGTAATCCTAGCTACTCTGGAGGCAAAGATCAGGAGGATCAATGTTGGAAGCCAGCCTGGCAAATAGTTCCCAAGACCCTATCCCAAAAATGTCCAACACAAAAAAAGCGCTGGTGGAATGGCTCAAGTGGTAGAGTACCTGCCTAAGCATGCTGTCCTTCCTGAGTTCAAATCCCAGCACCACACACCCACCAAAAAAAAAGGAAAGAAAAAGGAGAGATCAAGTACTTAGGGAATTCAAAGGAAAGAGAAACAATGAGGATGACCCCAGAAGGGCTCCTGAAAGATGGCATTAGAGCTAGTGGTAGAGTGACTGCTTTGCACGTGCAAGGCCCTGAGTTCCATACTTTGCACTACATTAAAGATCTGGAAAATGAGGAACAGACCCTAGGCAAAAGAAAGGGTGGGTACAAGACCAGATGGTGGCAAAGCAGGAAGTGCTTGGCCAGTAAGCAGGCTGGTCTGGTTGGGGCATTTATCATATAAAACACACACACACACACACACACACACACACACACACACACATACAGTAGGCTATGTGTATGTGTCTGTACGTGTGTTTAAAATGGGATGACAAAACCTAAGAATGGATTGATAAATCTGTACTGAATTTAGTAAGCCATGAGAATTTTTCTCTCTTTTTGGTGGTGTTGGGGTTTGAACTCAGGGCTAGGCAGGCACCCACTTGAGTCACTCTACCAACCAGGCCATCAGAGTTTATGTGGTTTTGAACAAATGAACAAAATCAGAGCTGTGCGTAGGAAGAAGAGAGTGACCGTTTATCACATTGGAAAGACAGAAAGGAGACCAGGAAGCTGTGCCAGCGTTCTTTCTTAGCACTTCACTGGCCCCTCATTAGACCTTCTTGGACTACGAAGGTGGGAGATGCGCCGTGTTGAAAAGCCAGAGCAAGTACTGGGGAGCTCAGTGACAAAGCACCTGCCTTGCAGGTGCCAAGCCCTGGGTTCCATACCCAGCACTGGACAATAATCAGAAAAATCTGATCTGGGTGACAGAGGTCAGGTTTGTCCTTGTCTGTGTGACTTTGGAAGCCACTTCAACTCTCTGGGTCTGAATTTCCCTATATGTGAATCTACTAATTATTCTTTTTGGAGTCAGGAGCTCTGGGATTCAGCAATGATTAGATACTAGGAATGGAGCAGAACCAGCAATGGAAGATTGTTTTCTGTGGTTAAAATAAGAAGCAGCCACCACTTATTAAGCAATTCCTATGAGTTTGCAGTTTATGTAAATCCTTCCTTCCTTCATTCATTCCAAGAATCCTGAGAGGTGCGTGTTCTCATTTCACAAATGAGAGAATTGAAAGTTTTAAGGCTGATGTAACATAGTCAGGGTTGGGCAGCTGGCATAGTGACAAAGCCAAAAAAAGATGCCTCAGTTTAAGGGTTTTTCTTTCCAGTGTCATGCTGTTTCTACACGGAAGGTGAATAGAACAGGGCTAATGTTTTCTCTTGTATTCCAAAGGAAGCACTGCCTCTCTTAATATCCTTTTGATGAACTAGACGTTATCAGGAAGGACCGGAAACAAAATATGCAGGTAAATATTATCTATTAATTTGCAGATTATTAATTTATTTACTCATTCAACTCACACTGATATCCTGCACATGTTATGCTTGTAAGTGGCCTTAGGGTGCAAACATGAATGAGACCATCTCTGTCCTCAGCATGCTCACAGGCTAGTAGGTGACAAACACATGTGCATAGGGCACTGGCATGACTAAAAAGAGTTTTGCACAAGAGAAGCATAAACGTATATAAACCATATTTTCACTTTACAACTTTACCATTAAATCTTGATCTATGTCATTTGAAAACTGTGTTTACGTGGATACAGCTTGGTGACAGAGCATTTGCTTACCATGCATGAGGCCCTGGGTTTGATCCCTAGTATATCACAAAAAAAAAAATTGCATACTTACATACCCCTCAAAAAGTAAAAGTCAGTGTGTACAACCGAATGGAAAACTGGCCATGAATTATGATTCTATTTAGTACATCTACTTCCAAGACTTATTAGGTTATTAGTTTAAGAAAGCATTCTGTCTTGATGAGTGCCATCTATTCTAACAGGTAAGTTGAGAGATAAAATGTACTTGAACTGTCATAACACTTGACTGCTATGAATGTATGCAAGTATCATTAGAAAGTGAGACGTAAAAATAAATATATATTGGATAGAGTCCCAGTTCAATCTGGAAATAAGTTTCTCTCATTGCCGGGCCCTGGTGACTCATGCCTGTAATCCTAGCTACTTGGGAGGCTGAGATCAGGAGGACCGCAGTTTGAGCCCAGCCCAGGCAAATAGTTAAGTCTCTATCTCCAAAATAACCAGAGCAAAATGGACTGGAGATGAGGCT